TTTATTTTACCTTCATAAGAACTCCCGGGTCACTATAATCCTGTTTACAGAAGGAACTTAGAGATTCACATAGTTAAATAACTTGCCCAAGACTACATAACCCCAGACTGGAATTCAAGTCCCTTGATTCCAATTTGGGATTCGACATTGCAGTTTCTCATGGTTGGTCATGGAAGTCAGTCTGAGAAGAGGGCTTGCCCAAGACATCATGGTCACAGTTGAGCCAAGGATCAGGAAAACATCATGATGTCACCCCACTCACAGAATTGTTGGAGACTTTCCTTTTTATATCAGAGCTGCCTTCTTTTCAAGTAAGAGCATTGCTCACTGCACAGTGCCAATGCAGAGACGATGGCTTAACCTCAAAGATATTGTACTCATTAGGACTGACCCATGCACAGTTTCGCCATATCTTCCTCATATGCATGACAAGGAATTTTTACTTACATAGCTAAAATGACTTTTGTATTCTCTCAAGTGGTTCCTACTTAATTTGTAGAATGTTTAAAAGTCATGTGGTCACAAAGAAGTTTTAAGGTCCCCAAAAAGCAAAATTGCTCCTTTACTTTCAGGCTAAAAATGTACTCAAAGAAATTAAGCAATAGGTTTTAGTCCAGAAAACCAAAAAAGGAAGTGAGGTGTAGGTGTGGGGGAAAGCAGGGGGTATTAACATACCTAATGTGGCCCCAGTACCATTTGCTGTGTAGGCCGTAATTATGCCTATTCTGTGTCCCCTCAATTTCTGATTTCTTAAATTCCAAAATAACCCCAGAGAAATCTTTCTGGTTTTACTTGGAAAGCAGCGCTATGGTTCTGTGCCTACGCACTCTAAAACAGGCCTGTCAAATCTGAAACCTAAATACAAGCTGACAGAAATCAGCTACTAACAAATTAAGTTAAATTAATAGAGTAGATGCCTGAAATGCAATGCAAATATCTTCCTCAAGAATCTTTCTCTCTAGTTGCCTGTCTAGATGGAGAGACTGCAGCAAACCTCAGTCTCCACAACAACCCCTTTCCCTTTCCATTGCCTTGTCGTGCTTCCTAGAGTGCCCTATATGGGAACCCTCTCCAGAACTCTTGCCCCCCCACCAAGTGACAGCCTCCCAATCCCCATCTACCAATTTTGTGGGCAGATTGTAGCAACAATGGAAGTCAAATCCTCTCCTACCTCTAAAAGAATTTATGCCTTAGTAGACTAACTGATAAGAAAAGAGGTAGAATATTCAGATGGGCCAAATGTACCTAAGATACTTATAGATGGCTTTCTGACTTCAAGAAGAAAACATGAATAAAAATGGAATCTTTTGGTGGTGCCAAAAATATCCTAAGAGTGGGAAAAAATGCAAGAAAGCCTGTTTCAAGTCCTAACTCTACTTCCAAATAGCTGCGTACCTTTGAGCCAAAGAACTTAGTTTTATGACTGTAAATAATTTATAAATATATGCAATAAGTGACCAATTCAGGACCATCGAGGGTTTTTCTTAAGATAATATTTAAGGCAATCATGAAGGCATGATATTTTTGCATACACCGTTTACAGGATAAAATCACAAATAAATGTTAAATCTCACTACGTCTACTTTCCCTTGCCATTTTCACCACTGCTATCCTGCTTTAAGTCATGAGGGTTTTGTTCCCAGTGTGATGGATCATCTCCCTTTGCTTTACCACATCTATATGATTTTTTTTTCCAGGCTACAGAGTTGGACAGAAAACCTTATGTCTTACTCTGCAGCGCCAGTTCCAGAGGAACTGATACAGATATAAAAGCTAACCGCACCTATAAAAAAGTGGTTCAGGCCAAAAATGGGAAAGAGGTTTATAACCTCTGCATGAGGTCAGGCAGGTATAGTAGTTCTGTGGAAAAGCTCTAATAAACTAGGGGAGATTGGTCAATATCACATACCCCTCCCACTTCCTGAAAATCTCCTCACCCCCCACACACATTCAACCCACCATCCAGGGTTTCCAGGACTGCTAACAAGAGACATTGGGCAACTGCCTCTGCTGAATAGGAAAGCATACTTCACTGGGTTTTAGAAGTTGAAAAACTGAAACATAGAAGTGAAGAGATTTGCCAAAGACCCTTACTTAAATCATAGGATGACCAAAATAAATTTCTAAAGAACTGTCTTCTGGCCTCATTGTCCAAGTGTTTAAGAACCCCTTTTTTAGAGAAAAAAAAAAGATGTTCCCAGTTGTAGGAGACAACTGTCCTTTTGGATTTCGAGATTTAACAAATTCTAATCCCTGCTTTCTCAGAGTGATGAAATTAAACAGTGATCTATTAAGTTCAACAATCCTGAGAAGCTAAATTTGTTAAAATTTGATGATGTTTGCTTTCATTATTCTTATTTACAAAATTATTATGAAAGCATACATATTCCTGGAATAGCAAAAAGATTTAAATAATAGTTAATTTTTACTTTGAAAATCTCAAAGAGCTTGAACACCTAAACAGATTTAGCAATAACATTGTATTATGTTGCATTTGATAAGGTTTTATGCATCTGATAAGAACCAGTGACACTATTATCTAAAGTTTTGTATGGTCTATCAAAGATAAGTAAATAGTACAATCATCTTTCTTTTATTAGCTTTCTTAAAGTAAGCATGCAACTGTTCAGCTTTGAAGAAAAATTAACTAATGATTTGTGGATGCGTGGATGAGTTACACCACAATCTCTTACAGTTTTCTTGTCATTCCTTACCAAGTTTCAATCCTTATTCAATGCCACAAAACCTTCAGTGCCCTCAATAATACTGGTGATGGTCTAGAATGGTACTGATCAATTGTAAACCATCCAAATATCTCTCTCTAGCTAAGGTGTACTGTTTCTGTCCCCCATTTTTATCAAGACTGTCCATACATAACTGGATTGATTAGACATTAGCCTTATTTCTCCTACTGCCTGCCTTTCCTCTGACAGGAGGTAAAAACAGCATTGTAATAGACCCAATGTTAAAAGCAGAACTGAGGAGACTATTCATTGTTAGACTAGTCACCCCCTCAGAAACACCGAGACATAACCAAAGATGGTGTTGAACTGCAAAGTTCATGGTCTAGAGTGGCCCAGTGAGGGAAATGGTAAAGAAAGAAAAGAATTATATACTTAGAGATTGTTGCTGGGGCAGATCTACTAGTCTTAAATTCATCACCAAGTCTTATGAGTTCTCCTGATCTTGTGGTATTTCTCCCCATTTCTTTTTTTTTTAAGCTGAAATTACCCAAAGTCTTTATTAAGCTATTTATTTATATATTCTGGGCAATTATTTCGTACAAAAGGTTTGTTTTCCTTTATTGTTGTGATGGGTGGGGGTATACTGTGGCATTTACACTGGTTCTTACAATGTATCAAATATATCATACATGAATTTACCTCCTCAACAATTCTCCTTCATTCCCCCTCCTCCAATTCCTGGAGTAGTTTCAACAGGTATCACTTTTGCATTTACTTACATATGTATACATTTTATTTCACTGTATTCACCCTCCTACCCCCTTTCCTCACCACCTCCCTCCTCCCACTGGTGCCAGACCTCCCCCCAGGGCAGGACTTGTTCTGCCTTCCTGTTCTCTAATTTTGTAGGAGAAAAAAAGAGAAAAGAGAAAAGAAAAAACATGACATTTTAGCTTGAGATAAAGGTAGCTACACAGGAGTTTCCTTGTGATATATGTATGTATGTATGTATGTATTTTAACCCCAATTGGTTTGTCTCCTCTAATTTTCTTCATTCTACTTTAGTCCCTTTCTTATGACAGTTTCAGTCAGTTTAAGATTTCTAAATTCATTCTTGTATAGTGAGCATGTCAACCCTATTAAAGTTCTTAGTTTCCTTACCCTCTCATGCATGATCTCCCCTTAGTGTGACCAGTGTTTCACAACATTACTACATTTATATTAGGTCTATATTCCACATATGAGAGACAACATGAGGCTTTTGGCCTTCTGAGCCTGGCTAACTTCACTTAAGATGGTGTTCTCCAGTTCCATCTATTTATCTGCAAGTGACAAAATTTCTGCCAACTTGCTTGCTAGGGATGGATGTTAACATAATTTTGGGTAATCAGTTCTTCGAGCCTTTTGAAGCTAGGAAAGTAGAAAGAATCATTAAGGAGGAAATTACTTGCTCTGGGAGCCCAAAGGTTGCCATAAAACCATTTCTGTTGTTCTAAGGCCCTGTCTGGCCTCAGCACTAGATCTCTGAGTTTCCCATCCTGTCCTTTCCAACCTTTCTAGATTCCCACCTCCAAATAAGCATTCCAGTTGTCATCAGCCTAAGTCACCAAGGCATCAGCTTCAAGCTATCATTAGTCATTAATCTGCTTCTCTACAGAGAGCCCTGTGTAGTATTGTGAGAAAAGTAACAAAAAAGACCTGAGTTTTGTGTCCATAATGTTTAAAGGCTAATGAAGACAATTAATATATATATATGAGTACCTAAAAATGAGAGATGGTTACACAAACAATTTCCTTCAAATGTGTGCATCAGAATACTCTTGTCAATATTTGACTTCTGGCCTCCTCTCTCCCACCTCCAAACCTTAATTGATGCCATTTTTCCATATCTTGAAGCCTACCTTCTTTCTTCCATCCAACCAAATGCTACTCCTCCTTTTCTTTCCATTTTCCTTAGTAAGACTTCCCCAGATCTACCTGTACCACTTGTTCTAGCATCCCCTCTCACCCATGGTATTGTGTGTGCTATATGTATTCAATGCATGTATGTCATCTTCTCCAACTAGCAGCAGCTAGATCAAGTAATCAATAAAGCTAAAAAGCAATCAAAACCTCATTATTTGTGGTTGCCATCATAATCACACTAATCAAAGTGACAAGAGAGCCTGGGTTCCCAAGTGTCCTAGCTAGCCTATCTTGGTTGTTAAAACACTGTCCTGAATATACCCTGAAGTTCCTTCGTACCTTCCCAGTATTGAATGCCAAAAAGGAATCAACTGACTTAACCAGGTCTACATTTCTTTTCTATTACTCCAGGATTCTTCTACAGCCAGATGATTCCTTACAGATCTTGGCACCAGTGGAAGCTGATGTGGGTTTCTATACTTGCAATGCTACAAATGCCTTGGGCTCTGACTCTGTCTCCATTGCCGTCACATTAGCAGGTAACCTGAAAAATCCCTGTTTAGTTCTACTCAGAAACCTTTATTAAGTGCCTGTATGTCAAGGAGGCTGAGGGCCACATAGACAAATGTGATCCATACCCTTCCTTCAGGGAGTTTATTACCTACTCACAATGGAACTGAAGTACAGTATGAGGTAGGATGATAATCAAAGAGTATGCAAAGACAGTTCATCCCTTCTGGGAGTTCTTAGAGCTGGAATGAGGAGAATTGTGTAAATAGAAATGGGGAAAATATTCAGGGCAGAAAGACCAGCATGAGCAAAAGTGATGTGTGCAACTCAGTGACGTGTTAGAGCATGAATTGTAAACTATGGTCTTTGAATGCTCTTTTGGGATCCTGTCATTTCTCCTTATTCCACCTGCTACCAAAAAAAAAAAAAGAAGAAGAAGAAGAAGAAAGAAAGATTTTAAGACCTATGGATAACTGGAATTCTGTGGTCATGACTTGGAGCAGGAATGTTCCCCAGAATTTCTGTTTCTGCTGTACCTCAACCTATGACTCTAATATACCTGCCAGTATTTTGCATATACCATAGAAGTTAAACAAAACATCTGCACATGGTGACTTTAAAACATTGCAACTACTCAGAGTAAAATGTCTCCCAAGTCTGTGGTCTTATAGCAATGTCCTTTTAGAAACCCTCTGTACACGGGACAAGTCCTTGCCTTTGAAACTGAAAGAGATCTTGGATATCACTGGACCAATATCCTCATCTCTCAGAGGCCAGGCAACCTGAAGTCACACAGCTGCCCAGTTAGTGGTGGGGCCAAGAAGGGAACTGAGGTCTCCTAATGCCCTGTTTATTGTTCTCTCTGCTGCCCCACTGATCCTACCAAAAGAGGATCCTTTTTCTCAAATCTGGGCCATATGATCTTTGTGGCAGTGTGTTGCATGTGTTTGTATCTGTTCTTTTCAATGGTTGCTCACATCAGATGATTCAGTAGATGCTAGAAAAGCCAACATCACCCCACACTGACCTCATCTGTCCATGTGGGGATTATGTTGTCACACAGGCTACTCCCTTGCATATCTGTTTTGCAACAGTATTTCTGCCCCATGACCTAAGGCTGATCTGGGAAGGGACCTTTAGCAGGCAGCTTTGCAGCAAAGATGAAAGTCGACAATGAGAAAGGCAAGCTAATGGGCCCTGGGCTGGATTAAAGACTGATATTATTAATGCCTGCTTTTTTGTGACTGAAACATTTGCTTTTCCCCTAATGTATTCCAGTTTCGATCTTTATTCTCCTCTTTATACAGAGTCCAGATGCTCAGCACCAGTCTTTTTAAAATATCTTCTATCTTCCACCCTCCAAACTACCTTAGCAAGGGCACTGCTGACACCCTTCCAATCACTGGCAAATACTGGCTCTTACAGGATTAACTCTCCTTTTTATATTTATCCACTTAAATACCCTTGTTCACCTGAATTTACTACGATTAATGGAAACCTGTCTGGAATTAAGCAAGGCAATTGTAATATCAGGATTGTCTTCATCTCTTTGAAGAACTATTGGAAGCTGCCAACAGGTTCAAAGCCAGAAAAGAGAAACAGAATGGCCAAAGAGGCACGAGGGAAGGGGAGGAGAGGGTTGACCAATGAAATATGATCGCAAAAACCACACCCAGGGTTTAGGGAGCCGCCGCCCTGCACTTCAGCTGCTGGGGTTTGTTCAGGTCTGCTGGCAAATTGGCCAAACAGCCCATCTAAAAGTAGAGGCTGAAAATGTGCATTGTAATTGTGTCTTTATCTGGGATTATCACTCACACCTGTGCAATGTCTGTGCTCATAGTGTTGGGTGGCTCACCAGTTACTGTTTTGAGCACATGCTGTCGATCAAGTATTGTGAGACATATAACAATAAATAAAACTGGAGTTTTGTGTTCTGTGATGCTCATAGACTAGTAAAAGGCAATAGATAGGTAAATGCCTACCTAGAATTGAGAAATTGCTCAATGTAGCTTAAAAGCATGCCTCAAAATCCTGCTCCAACCAGGTTTGATGGTGCATGCCTATAATCTCAGCACCTGGGAGGCTGAGGCAATAGAAGGATCCTGAATTCCATCCCAGCCTGGGCTATGTGTTGGATTCAAGGCCAGCCTGTGTTACATAGCAAGACCCAATCTCTAAAAGAAAACAAAAGCTCCTTCTCTGCAGTATATGTCATATGACCTAAATATAACCTAAATTGGGGGGAGAGGATGGATGTCAAACATTTCTAAATTTGATTACCAATTATACTGCTTATTAACTATGTGATCTTCAACAAAGTATATGACATCATTGAGTCTCAGATCTTGATGAAATGAAAAAAATGAAAGTAATACTCTTTTACAGAATTGTTGTGAGGTTAAATAAGATTGTAAGTATGAAAAAGAGCTTAGACCAATGCCAGAAACATTGTTCACACTCAATAAACATTAGCTTCCTTTTCTTTCTCTAGCTCTTCGAAATGAAATATATCCTGAAAACAATCCTGAGATGTGAAAAACATGGCGTTAACTTTGCTTCTATGTATTTTTCAGCAGCAGTCTTAACAGTAATATTTTTCAAGTGTGCACTTAGTTCACTTGCAATCATTAAATCTCTATGTTGCTGTACTTTGAAATTAATAGCAGAGTTTTTGTCTGGACTTCAATCATAAATACAGCTCAAAGAGAAAAAGAAAACTGATGCTCAAGATAGTCAGGTGTCCCCAGGATTTCATAAGAAAAGTATAGACTTTGGACTTGCCAGTGCTCCTACGTTAACCAGATTCAAGAAAAACCGTTCATGGTGTTTCACCAGAGCAGGCAGGCATGGCACAGCCCTTAAGCCTGTGGATTCTGAAGCCTAGGTGTGCATTTGAATCATTGCTCTGTCATTTCCTAAGCTGTGTAACCCTGAGCAACTTCTTTAAACTTGCTGACTTCATTTCTCTCTCTGTGAAATGGTGATGATAATCGTACCTGACCCAGAAGGAAACTCGACGCACTCATTTATATAAAATGCTTATAATTGTGCCTGGCACATAACAAACACTCAATTGTTAGATAGCATTATTATTATTACTATTATAAGGATAATGTAGCAAACCAAAGTCAACTTATTTTTACAGTAGAGGAGACCTCTTTTCAGAGATCAGAATTCTCATAAGCCCATTTTTTAGTAGCTTTCTCTCAGTGTCCTAGTGGCAACTGGAGAAGCTGAATTAGCCATCTGGAAAGTGCTTAGAGTGCCTGGAGACAGAGCAAGGGAGGTGGCTGGTGATGAGGAATGTCTCACAGGGGTCACAGGGAAAGAAGCCTGATGAGCTCCTGCTGGCCTACAGCACGAACTCTCCTGTTGAGTTTTCCCCATCCCCTAGATGCTGTCTACTGCAGATTCTGCATCTTAGACTCATTTTAGTTCCATTGCTTACTCTCTACACAATTTTCCTAAAAACACTATTTAGTTTCAAACATACTAATTCTACCAAGTCTTCTGTGTTCTGCACTGTTTTGATCTGCAAAATATTGTTTTTAGTGTTTTTCCCCATTCTCCTAACACATCCATTCTGTGTTGATTTTATCTTCTAAGTTTCAGAGATTTGAGAATACCTTGCATATGTGTCTCAGCATGAAGAACGCCAGTATTTCCTTATTTCCCTCCCTGGGAAACTCACAGCCACATAGACCCAGTGGCACACAGCTCCTCTACCCTAAGTTTACTTAACTGGGTACCTGTTTCACAGCTCATGTTGCAGGAGAGAAGCTTACAGTAGAGAGGAGGATATGAATAGAGGGTTATAAGAATGTAACTGAAATGTTACAGTCTCACATGTTGAGTATTGATTACTGAGTGTCCAGTTATAAATAGGATTGGATAAGAAGGAATTTCTGGTGTATGCAAATAAAAGCAGAGAGATTGGAGTACCATCTTGGCCAGTCATATTCCACACTCAGTTACTTTGCTCAGAAACGTTTGAATGGCATAGGCAGTGTTTTTAAAGGAAAGCAGTAGTTTCCTGATGAATCACTTCAGTCTGGATCAGTGGAATTTGTTCCACTTACCAATGTAGACGAGGACCTCTCCAGGTGTAGAGCATTGACGAGGTCCTAGCCAAAAGGGAAGCATCTTTGGTTGTCATTGATTTTATAAGATCACAAAAGAGATACTGTAGGATCTTCCGAACATCATCAGCGGAAAATGAGATGAGGGCTGAGGGATGGGTGTGTCTTTCATTGAAAGGAGATAACTTGGATGAGCTCATCTGAAGTTTTCACAGGAAAGGAGAGACAGAAAATATTTCTCCTTTCCTGGCATGTTTTTTGTGTCTTTTTGTGAGTGGAATAGCTGACACACATTGTGTCTAATAAAGAGATCTGGGAAACCTCACTGAGAAAGTAAAACTAAAAGGTAGTTTTTTAAATTCTTCTTTCTGTGCCCCTCCTCATCACGATTTAGTAGCTGCAATAAATGACAAGCAGTTATGTAAGCGTCTCATAATGTAAGTCAGTTCCAATTGGCATTTCTGAGTTTTTCATCCAGCAGTTGTTAATCAAAGGAGGGCTTTCTTCATAGTGAGTTAGGATTAGACAGGGTCTCCTCACCAGAAGCAAAAGCCGACAAAAGAAAATGTGCCCCAGTGCACTAGATCAAAAGGAAAGGTACACAGATTTGACTGTGTCCCAATGGTACTCTAAGCCACGTGGTAATAGTCATTGACTGATTCCAGCTGCCATCGAGAGAACCTCATTACCTGATAGAAGGCTAAGTAGCCAAGGCCTCAAGTTCTCAAATATAGAAGTGCTGATAGCCCATTCATAGACACTGAACTTTTAGAGACTTTACATAAAATAGATGACAGTATAGCAGAAAATCCAACTTACTGTACAAATGGTCCAAGCAACCCCATCTCAATCCCAGAAAAGCAGTTCTTATCTCTATCCAGTTAGGATGCAGGAAGGATGGGGGGGTCAAACTTGTAGTGGGATGTATCATGCCCTAATTAATAATTTCT